AAGAAAGCGCGCAAAATTCAGAGGTTATAGGTAAAACCCAATGCACCCCACATCCCATGCATACGTCAGCATTCAGCCACTTGCATTTCTATGACAACCCTGGCAGATATACGGTGTCTTATCTACTCCAGCCTAGCGAAAGCGTCTCCAAGGCCAAATCCCATGAGAACAGGCTGAGGGATGCAACTTGAGGAATAATTATGGCTACTACAGACAGGCACTCATCCCACACACACTCCCCTCAGGAATTCCCTCCCACCTACAGCATGGCAAGGTGAACAGTGAAGCAGAACAAAGAGAAGTGAAACTGAAACCTTGACAATATCAGTATATCTAATTCTCAACATGGCCACCTCTGTGGATATTTAAATCTAGGGCTGGGGTCATAAACACCAAGACCTTTCTATAAACCTGAAAAAGCCTCAGGTTCGCAGTAAAATCTGAAATCATTAAAGAAAATCAGGTTAACCCCAATAATAGAAGGAGGGGGTGGAGCCCTTTCCAGGGATCTTTCGGCCTTTGACTCACAAGAACTCACAGAGGTCAGGACCACCAATAACCACCAGGTGACTTACTACCACCCAACTTGCATGACTCACCCTGGCCTAGCTGCTTACTATTGTTCAACAACAGCCACCCCACAAAAGGCAGTGTCGGTAGTAGTCAGGGTTTCATACTAGGATCTGTAAGACCCAGGTACAAATCCCCATTCTGCTATGGGCCACTCACACACACTCAGTCTAACCTACCTCACAGGGCATTTGTGGAGATAAAATGGAGGAGAGACGAGCAATATAAGTCATTTTGGGTCCCCACTGGGGAGAAAGACACGGTATAAATGAATTAAATAAATAATAAACTACCAGGTTAAAGTTCCATATGCCTTTTCTACAAGGAAGATATATGAACTGCAGGAAACAAAAAAATTTTTATCCACGTTTTTATTTTCAAATGAGGGTGGTGGTGGAAGCAAAACACTTCACTTAGTATAAGGGATGTTCCTTTCACCACATATGCACAAATAACTACCCTTACTAATTGAGGAAAAGGTGACATCATGGTACCTGACAACAGGAAGTCCTACTAGTAATATCAATAATAGCAGTACACAGTCTCCAGACAGCATCCCACTGGGATGCGCTCTGATAGGCATCTTATCAGTGTAATCTGTGCTATATTCCATTCCTGACACACACTCAGATACACTATAGTCAGATGCCACTGTAATTTCAGGGCCATGAGTGTCAGTAATGGTCTCCACAGCTGCAGAAACTATTCTTATGTGAGGCAGCTCTGCACCAGACCACTCACACATAAAGATGAAAGATTTCACATATTTCTGCTGATTTATTCACAGCAGAACTATGCAATATCCTGGAGTGCAGGCAAATGCTAGAATAGCGTATATAGAATAAGCAATTCTATAAAGATAACAAGTCAGTATTTTTATGGACAAATATTCTTGCAGCTGAGCTGGATAATACTTGGGGGAGACAGCGATTTGTTTTTTGTGGTTGTTGCCTGTTTTGCTGATGCTTTAAATTAAAGGAGAAAATCCACCTTAAATTGCAAGATAACGAAATGTGAAAACAAAGGGATTAAATCATTTTAAAATGTTCATTTCAAATAGTCCTAGCCAATGCTCCCTCTAAGCTGTGGAGTCTTGCGAGCAAAAATTCTACTTTTTGAGCTACTGGCATTAAAGTTGCGAGCAAGCAATTTAACTGCTGCATAAATTAGTTTGCTCTGGAGCCATCCTTTCTAAGCTAAGACAAAAATGTGTGAGCCGGAGGCTAAAAATCTGTGAGCTAATTCACACTAACTCAGCTTAGAGGGAACAATCCTAGCAGAAACTGTGGACAGCAGTCATCTATCATTTTTTCTTGAAAATACTACACATAAACAATCTGGGTTAAATAACCAGAAACTTTCCTGTATTCAGTTGAGAGATCTCAAGTATATACAGTAACTAATTAGCAAATTATCAGCAGAAGAGCAGAGAGAACAAGGTTTACAATGTCTTCCTTGAAGAGTATAAGTTTGGCTCCAAGGAGTCCCTTCCACTCAATGGAAAGTTTTCCTCTAACAGAACTAAGACATTTCACTTATAGAAGAAGAGATACAACCCACTATGTTTTACTTAATGTGGGTAAAGAAATTTACTGCATTGATCAAATGATCTACCCACTTAAGGAAAGTGTTCATATGAAACTCATATGAAAAAAGAGGTGACACCAAGTTTAACTGGATAGCTCTAGAAAGTTTTATACAAATCAAACAGCATGCAGCTAGTATAGTCAACCATATTCATGTTCTAACTTCAGTTACTTGGCCAAACAAATACAATCTTCTGTGATTAAAATAAATTTTAAGCATTGAATCCAATGGTTCCTTTTTAGGAGGACAAATTTTCTACAGGAGGAAGATTTATTTTATTTGAAAAGGGAATGCTTTCCACAAAGTGAGATTTATTTATATACTAGGAGTAAGGCCCGTTGTAGGAAGAAATACAACAAGTTCTAGAAGGAAGCTCCAGGAGAGTGTCCCGGCTGTGGCTGGTGGGGCAGCAGAGGGAAGGAGAAAATAGAGGGAGGCAAGCCATGTTTATTTCCTTCTGCTTAGCTATAAGGCAGGGCTGTCCCAAGAGATAGAGGAAAGGCAAGCAGATATAACAGACATGGACAGTGAAGAAGAAACAGAGCTCCCTGTAGTAGAGGAGAGGGGGAAGAGGGAAGCCACTCTTAAAGCTACAGCTACCCTTAAAAACCTTAGAACGATGATGCCCCTAAGAGAAGCACTGACGGCGACAGGTGGAATTTCTTTTGTCTATGCACCATTCTCCACATCAGATTTTATGATCTGGAAACGTAGCCTGCCAAAATATAGAGAGGATCCAGATAAGGTGGCTCAAGAATTTGCTAACTTCTGTTATATGCATAGGCCAACATGGTTAGATTGTGAACAGATTTTACATCAGATCCTGGCCCTAGAAGATGTTAAGCTGATAATAGACAAGGCAAGAGCCCTCTGCACAGCTGATTTGACACAGCAGGAGGCCCAAGGTGGCGCACAACAATCTGTGAATGATATAGTGCCACTTGAAGATCCTGGGTGGGACCATGCCACTCAGGCAGACAGGGATAAGGTGGCTAGATACAGAAAATACCTGACAGATGCCCTGAAGACAGCTATCCCCAAAACTGTCAGCTTTAATAAAGTCTGGCAGATAAAGCAGGGAAAATATGAAGAGCCCTCAGAATACCTGGGCAGACTAATGGCAGGCTTTAAAAAATGGGGAGGGGGGATGGATCCCAATGATCCAGAGAGCCTGAAGCTATTAAATGCAGCCTTCATGGGGAGTGCAGGCTTTAGCTGTTCTCTGTCATTCTTGAAAGAGTCCAATGGCAATAAGAGAGTGGAGGAGGGTCTCTGCCATGGCGGTCACACCATGATGGGTTGACTGGTGATAATCATCAAGGATCATCAAGCTAACAGGGCGCGTGGGAGCCAGATCCAGCCTTAAGTGCCTCACCCGTACGGCAACTCGAAACCCCGCATGGCCCGCCTTAATGAGCCAGGAAGGGCACGGATCCAGGCAGCATGTGGTTGGACGCACAGATGCGAGCAATCTGTCAACAGTGAGCAAACTTGAGGCCCCTTGCACGTCCTCGCAGGGTTTAGAGTGTTCAGTGCAGACTGCATATCCCATGTGGCGGATCCCCGCTCAGTTTGGAGGAAGTTGACAGATTGCTGATGGTGTCCTTACATGATTTTAGCAGCCAGGATAGGCAAGGGTCCTGGGTACAAGGAACTTGTCAACGTCCATCACGGATAATGGGTTAAAGTGATCTATGAAGAGACCAGGCGGTGCATTAACCCTTTCTTCTAGTGTACCTGTGTTACAGCTGACATCCAGATCAGCATGTCTTCTCAATATTTTATCTGCTGAAGGAACACGGCAGGGGCAGATTGTTCACTTAGGGTAAGGGAATCACTGGATCCACCCCTCTGTGCTATTATAATGGTTTATAATATTTATTATTTTACTTATTTTAAGATTTCAAATCCCACTTCTGATTGCTGTATTCAATGGTAGCATTCACCATTTAGACACCCAAACAAATTATCTATATATCTAACAGTCACAGGTCCACACTGACAAACAGAAACTTTCCCCCACACTTGGGAGAACCCCCAGGCTTGCAGAAAATCCTAAAGCTACTAAAAGGGGGAGGGGTTACAGAAAACCCCCCAGAAGGAGAACAGTTCACTGTGCGAGTTCAGATAACTGTTCTCTGAATGCAGGCAGGCACACAAGGAGGAATGCGGGAGGGGAAGAAAGATGACTGCACGCTAACAGGCAGCAAGAAGGCAATGACAAGACCACCAGCAGGTACATGGCAAGGTGTCATGAGGGACAGGGAAGAAGGGGTAGGGGAGAAAGCAAGCAAGAGGACATGAGTGATACAAAAGCAAGGATGGAGGAGACAGAAGACAAAGTGGGTATGAGTGACAGGGAGGAAGGGGTGGGGGGAGACAGAATGTAAAGGGCATGAGCGACAGAAAAGGGATGGGAGAGAGGGGAGGAAGGAAAGGCAGTGGGAATGGGATCCCCCCCCCCTTGTAAGTTCCTTGTGGGTCCCCACTGGTCTCATAATAATATCAATGTATACATCTCACTCATGGTCAAACGATTATTAAAATTAAAATTTATTCTCTGTCAGGACTAATCAGAATTTTTACTCCAAATGTTTGATACTGTCAAATACCCAAATGCAATACTTGACAAAACTAATTAACAATACTTCCCAAAGCAAACATAAGTTCTTACAGAACTTACTCACATTAATTTAATATACTGACCATATTACAAGTTTAGTTACATATCTGTTCTCAAATACATTCTCAACAGACCTCACAGAATTATCTGTGGCAGGAATTCTTGCAATTAGTTAACCTAGTCATATATACATGCCAAGGAAGTTTTAACTGAGACTTACCAAGGGGCACCATATATCCGGAATCCTTTGACGGTTACCTCAGAGTCTTGCAAGTAAATACTGTTTGTCAGAAGTGACTGAACATTGTCAAAATCCTCTGGTTTCAATTTAGATACCGAGGGAAACCGGTAGTAATCCTGTTTAACAAGGTCTGCCATGAATTCTTTATCAAATGTCAGTTCATGATTTCCAGCAATCACTATTTTATATTCGTATGGCAGGTTTCCTGAAAGGACAACAAAAACGCATTTAATTAGTACACCTGCATCCTACATCAAAATATCCCAAATGTAAGGGCATACTGGATATATAAGCATTTTAGTGTAAAGGAAAAGCCTTTACTGACACACTGTGTCACTCAGCAAAAATATGCTAAAGAAATGTATAAGCACCTATGTTCTCAAACACTCTTAAGGTTACTGAAGAATTCAGGGAGAACCTCCAGATCAATGTAGATGGATTACCTCTTAACATCCTTTGACCGTTCTGTCATGCTCTTAGTAACGGAGTAAAGATTTGTAAGAAAGTGAAGACCATATTCTCTATTGCATATTTATCCATTCGAGACTGTAAGTATGGAGTGTTGGGAATGCTAAATTATTCCAGATTAATTTACATGGCAAGTGTTCTCTGGTATGTTAGCTATTGTAGTATACACATTGAGGATCTGGCTAAAAGTGAGTCTCTGTAAGATCAGGCAGAGGTCTTTCACATAATCTACTACCTGGCCCTTTTAACTGGAGAAACTGGGGATTGAACCTGGGACCTTCTGCATGCAAATCATGTTCTTCCACTGAGCCCCACAGCCCTTCCTGCCCTCAATCTTTATAAACAAATCTTTCCATCCTGTTTCATATCCCCTATCCCCAAATTTGCCAAAATAGCGAGATGCATTTCTTAAGGTGAAGTTTCTACAAAATGTATACCATCCTATTTTCTCTCTTCTCTAGTTTAAGGCTTTTTTCTTTCTCTCAGGATATGGTTGAAGGACACACAGTACTTCTCTAGCAGAAGGATCCATAGCCTTGATCGCCTTCCACTTTAAGCCGATTAAGGTGATACAAATCCTTTTTGGCAAGATGCCAGAAGCCTTTCTTTTTCCCACCTCCACCTTGTGAGAAAGTCTGTTTATTGAGACGTATGTGGAATTTCATGTCTGGCACTTCCAGTGGCAACCTTAGAAGTACCTTGAAGTTTAACAGTTTTGCTCATAATATCTCTCTTTCTTGTCTTTGATAGATTCAAATTAGCAATCACATGTCTCTGTGATTAGCCATTCACAGGTGTATGGTTTAGAAGAACCTACTCATTTTCTTTTTCTCCTTGCTGTGATCATATATATTTCTATACTTTAATGCATTGTCCCAAAACAAGATGTAACATTTCTCTCCACCTGAAATGCATACATTTGGCACTCTTGGTAGAAGAGAAGAGTCAATTAGGAAAGAAAAGAATTGGGGATAGCTCCTTTGTTAGACACCAACTTGAAAATGATTTTAAAAACAATGTTTTGTTTAGAAGTGTGCTTAGAATCTCACTCGGACATACCTGGCATGAGGCTGTAGACACGTTTTTATAGATTTCTGTTCCATATTTATTGCCATTTTAACATTTTCTACTCTGTGCTTTTTAAAATACCATAAACATTTCTACTTTTCTTCTTCTTTACATATATTCAGTTAAGTTTTTATTACGTCCCACAGACCATTCAGAAGCAGAAACATTTTTATTAATTAATTATCTACATAAAATCTCAGTATACAACATTCATCTTAAAGTAACTAATAGTTTTAGGGTTTAAGGGTTAGAATCCAATTATACACAGGATGTTAACTCAGCCTGTACTTTCATTACAGAGAACAAAAACTTAGCCACGTATACAGTAGTTCTTTGGTCATCTCCTGCCAGTAAGATTACATAGATTATTTTTTTGAATATAAACCTGTGCTCGTGGATTCCTAAGCATTAGGCTTTGTCATGTTCCCTGCTAATAAACCTGGGGTTTCTTTTGTTCCACATATAGGAAAGACTAAAGCATCTAACACTGCGATCCTCAACAGAGTCATGTCCTTCTAAGACCACTGAAGTCAGTGGACTGGACTCCTAGCATTTCTGGAATGGGAAAG